GAAATTACAGATATTTCTAGAGTGTGTGGGATCCTCTCCATCCCCTACCATTTTCTGACAATAGGAATACTTACTCATACTGATTTCTCTAATATTTAACTTTTTCTATTGCCAATGAAAGATAACGCTCCATCACATACTTCTCTATACCTACCAGGCATTGGTTTCCACATCTGGGCTGACATAATGCCCATCATGTCAGGCTTAAAGTCATAACTGGATCTCTAGTTGAAAAAATAGGACTTGTGGCTTTCAGGTTCAGGTTTCTATTTTCTGTTCTGATTCTAGATTATTTATTCTGCCCCTCAACTTTAGAACCTGAATAGTACATGCAAATACATGTACTAATCTGACTTTGTGAGATTGTCAGGAAATCACAAAATCATTTAAAATCTGGAAATGATTTGAGAATAATGGAATTCTAACAGTTAATTGTTGCAATAGTTTTTAGCTAATCTAAGCAAAGATAAATAGTAGAATAATCAGTCAGTGTTGTGAGACAGGTTGGCCTCCTGAGCTACTAGAGGAATGGAGCAGGGGAGTTCTGAGGTCCTACAACTTAGGAAACAACTATTAAGTAGGAATGGGTATGTGGTCAAGTTGTTTTATTTACCTGCATTTCCCAAATTTATTTGAGGATAGACCCTCTCTGTCATAAAAGGAAACTTAATGCTTGGGAAATACTGGTAGAAAAAAGTAGACATTTCAGTTCTAGTCTTGCTTCAGGCATTAATCAACATCTTTGGCTACCCTGCAAACATGTATGGAGTAACTCCTCTGTGGCTGTTAGAAATGCTATGGATTTATTCAGTACACAAACTCTGCTTCCAAGGCTTATATCCTAGTCAGGGCAGAAACATGATACACATAATCTACAAAATGAAGAAACCTAGTTAGGTGATCTCAAAGGCTCTGTCATCGTTATGGTTCTGCTTTAAGAACTAAGAGTTGTCCTGTCAAAATGTGGTATTGCTGCATCATGAGAATCTCAGAAAAAGGTAGGTATTTCCACACATAGAATTACTCTCAAAGGGAAGCTTCTATAAATTTAAATCATTTGTTAATACCCAGAATTTCACTACAAAACATTTATTTAAAGTAGAAAAAAAATCTTTCTGGTTCTCTCTTTTGTCTTGTCTGTATCTTAATTTAATAATTTAATACATGGAAAGTATCAGACAGAGAAAAGAAATCTCTGGATAAAGGTATCAATGACTTCTAGCAGGCCCTTAGAGAAATTTGTAGCAGTGAGAGAATTGTCCTTCTATCCTACATCCTTAATGTGACTTGATGTTGAAATGACCTTTCAGACAGTATTTCATTGCCACATGTCTGAGCTTGTATCTTAGAATAATTAGAAGCTTTGACTTCACATCTTGGTATGGCCAAGATGTTAATTATAAATGTCTGAAAGTGTACTGAAACTTTTCTTCATAGTTTGGGAGGATGGTTGTGGATTGTGGTTCTTAACCTTTGAAAATTGGACTCATTTTTGGAATGAAAATTAAAATCTACTTCTCCAGTTGTCCAGAACTTAGTGTAATATTTTTATATTCTCCATCATGATTAAGAAACTGTATAGAATCATAGTCTTTAATGCTTTAAAAATATCGTTTCATTGTTAAGGCACTTATCTAAAAGGTTTGAGTAGACTATAGGCTTTTAAATATAATGATTTTCCCATTGACCCAGAGGGGAAAATATTCTGATTAACATGAAGAAGCTCTTATCACATAAAGGGATGCCTTCCAAGATTGTTTCTAAATCAGACCTAAGTATTTCTTTTTCCATGGTGATTAGCCTAGCCCAGTCCCCAGAACTGACCCCACACTACTCACCTTTTCATTTCCACCTCCTCTCCCTCCTATAAATGCCTATAAATGAAAGGGCAGCTAATAAGAAAATACATTGTAATAGTTCCATTTCACTTAAATAGGCCCCTATATATCAGGGAGAGGAGTGATATGTATCTATAAGTTCCTCTAAAAGTTTTGCTCTCTGAAATGACTCTAGCTGGGACAAGGTCTTACATTCCCCTTAAACCTTCACTAACCCTGCAGGTCCTGGTTTACTCGAAGGTCTCCATAATTTAGACCTGAAGCCCCTAGTTCCCTCTTAGCACACCTGCCTAATGTCCTACCAACCTACTCTTTTCACTAAGTCTAGACTTTTCTTACTGCCCCCAGGGCTAAACTGTCATGCAGATTTGCCACTATGGACATACGTGCTCCTTGTACATCCATTTCATTCTTCAGAGTATATTCAGATATTGATAGCAATAAACTTTGTATCTAAAAATACCTGACCATTTCCAGGAAATGAGATATAACTAAATCTGTTATCTAAAGTAAGCTTTTGTGATTTCGAAAACTATAAAGCTTCCTTGTTCAATGACATCTTGTACTCTAGTCTTTTACAGGAAAAGGCTGATAATTAGGTCAAACATTTTTGTGCCTTTTCAAGACCTTTTCTCTTAAAATATAACAGTTTATTTTTACATCACTTGGTGACTTTTTCCATCTCAGTTGTAATCCCCATGTGCTTGCCATCACCAAATCACCTGTGTGTCATCACCATAGCCCAGTGCACTCCCCCACCCACCCCATTTTTGATCCCATTCCCCACTCCACCCCCGTAAAATGTCTCTGGTATATAGTTGTTCATTATTATTTTCTCCCCTGGTCCTTTATATTCCTGCTGTGAGTTAAAACATCCGGTATTTTTCCTTTTCTTTCTGGCTTATTTCACTAAGTGTGATCTTCTCCAGCTCCATCCATGTTGCTACAAAAGACATGTGTTTATTTATTTATTTTTGGTTGCTGAGAAATATTCCATTGTGTATATGTACCACATCTTTTTAATCCAGTCATCTACTTTTGGATATTTGGGCTGATTTCATGGCTTTTATTGTAAATAAATAGCAATAAACATGGGGGCTGTGCAGGTGTCTTTTTGAATCAGTGTTTTTGTGTCAAGACTTTGAGAGTAGGCATTCTAAAGAAGTATTTTTTTTTTAAAGATTTATTTATTTGTGCATACAGAACGGGGGTACAGGCCAGAGGCTCAGGGGCAATGAGAGGCTTCACCAGAGACAGAGTAGGGAGCAGAACAGGCAGATCAACAAAGTACACTGCTGAGGGGAGCAGCGGGCTGGTCAGGAGAGGTCTGCCGCGCCATGTGGTCACCTCCGGGGCAGGCGGGAATCAAACTCATGCAGAAGCGGCTTTAGATTCTCAGTGCTGTGCTTTAACCCGCTGTGCCACCAGGGAGGGCCCTAAAGAAGTATATTTTAATACTTCTTATTTAGAAGTAGGCATTCTAAAATAAATTTTGGATATTTAGAGTAGACATTCTAAAAGAAGTAAAATTTAATACTGCTTGTATTTGCTGACTTTATGATGTTAAGGAGAAGTTGTAAAAATTCCAATTTGAGGTAGGTATTTACTCTCACTTTCTGCAGGTAAACATACTTTTAATATGGTTCATGCACACTTATTTGCTTTTCAATGTCTTGATTGGATGTTACAGAACAGGAATTAAGGTTTTTAAATCAATTAATGTCTCTTTTCATTTGAATTAAAATGGAACTTTTATTTCTTCGAAGATATTATTTTCCTCTTCACTTCATTAACTTCCAGAAGTCAATTGAAGTAAGAATTATCTGATTTCTCTTAAGGAACTGACTACCTCTCTCCTAAACCATAATTTCTCAGGCTCATTCCTGCTGACATTTTAGATTGGTAATGCTTTTTTGTAGGGGTCATGCGGTACATTGAAGGGCATTAGGCAGTATCTCTGGCCTCCAATATAAGCCAGTAGCAGACTCCAAGACCACATGTCCCTTGGGGGCAAAATTGACCCTCCTTGAGAACTGCTTTTCTAATCTACTCCTAATATATGTTTCAACCATTTCAGCAGGTACTAGCATGGTTTGGTGATGATTTCTTAACTTTGTTTCTTTTTAACCTGATTCTTTGGTTTTCAATTCATGATAATTTTTTTAAATGCTATAGCATATATCCTGTTCAAGGGCCTTTTAAAGAACAACAATACCTAGAGTCTTTGCTCTTACCATCAGGCTAGATTCTTTGAGGAGTCATCCCAGTATAAATTAATGTGATATATTTTTGCTCCTGACCTGACTTTTTCAAATGGATACAAGACTCTAAAAGGTGTGTCTGTTTTTTAAAAAAAGATAAGTTTTCACCATGAAAAGTATGGCTATTACTTAAAAAAGATCACAATTCTAAAAAGTCAAAAATGAAATACTTACATTTAAATAATACAGATGTCTCTTCAGAACTTCTCTGAAATAGATGTAAGAGCTTAGAGGACTCTAGTAATTAATTTAAAGTTTCTCATTGAAAGAATACTGAGCATTTGTAAATGAGTACAGGCTTAATGACCTTTTTCTGTGAACATGAGGATGAGTGAGTAAGGGAATCATAGGGCAGGCAGGAACACCTCACTGCATTTTGATGGCATGTAAGTTACCTTGATCTTATACTACTAGTTAGTCTTCAAAAATAATTACTCAGAACAGGAGGAAAGTGTACATAGAGTAAGAAGTAAACATTGGGATATGGACTCAGAGCACTTACATAATGTGGAAGTATTCAGCAGGTGGTCATGTCAGCCAAAGACAAGCTGTGTAGCTCAAAGGAAGAGAAGCTTTTCAGCAAGTGCTTAACTAATTCACTAAAAACTCTCCCATATAAACTATAATCACTTGCCATTTTGAAATAAAGAGGGTCCCTCTTAAAAATTAATTTCTAAGAGGAAGTGCCTGTAGCACCTAAGGGTAGAAAATGGAAATAAGAATGTGGTGAGTTAAAGATAGGGCTTGCCAGATTCTTTCAACACTTTGGTAATTTAAATGTAGGAAAGATATAGTAAGAGGGTATAAATGATTGTCACTTGAAAGACAATAAATAGGTCATCAGAACATTCTATGATGAATTTATAATATGAGGTGTTTTTCTCTTTTTACCTCCTGTTAGCTTGTCAAAATCCCCAAAAATGATCCCTCCAAAGAAGTGCATACCTTTAACTTCTATTTGTCAAATGTGGGTAAAGACAACCCTCAAGGCAGCTTTGACTGCATCCAGCAAACATTCTCTAGGTAAGTACATTTCAGGTTATGCTAAAAGGAAAATAATTACTTAGTTTTTTTTATTTAATGTTTTGACTAAGGGCATTTTAAAATTAAATAATAAAATACACAGTAGTCCTCCCATAAATATTTATTGAATTGAATAGCAGGGCTCATTTATTTATTTGAGAACTATTTAGCACTTCTGATGCATTCAAAATTAATATTTGCTATTGCTAATGTAGGATGTAGTCATAAAATTCTCTTGCACTCAAGGGACATTTGAGGTGTGGATTTTTTGTTTCGTTTTGTTTTTTTTTAATTAAAGACAAGCTTGGAGAATTTTAAAAAGTTTTTACTTACTGCATTGAAATAATGTAAAGTAAAGCTCATATTCAAGGGTAAAGGAGGAAAAATATATCTTGTATAATCCTTTCTTTTCATGTCCAAACCTTGTTTTAAGGTCACTTTTTAAAAATTTGTTCTTAACATAATGGCAATTAGAAGTTAATCCTAATATAGCAGTCACTTCAAATTGTTATCCCAAGAGAAAAAAAAGGAGGGAGGAGAACAAGAATACACACCCACATTCAGGGTACCATGGAACCCTTATCTGTTTAGGTCCTCTATAAACAATAAGCTGTTTGTCTCACTGTTCTTTGCTGTGGTTGTTTCTGATTAAAGAATGGGCCCCTTGAGCAGGGGAGCAGTTTGTATCCCTTCTGGGTAGAGACAAAGCCTAAGAGCCCCCAGTGTCCTTGGAGAATTCTTTGTGACCCGAAGTACCCAAGGTTCTTCCATCCCTGTTTCTCTTCTGCACAGTACTTGAAACCTGCTGTGCATGTGAGAAAAAGGAAAGGAAAGCTGTTCAAGAGAATATGGAAGGTAGAGATTGAGACCCTGCACTGAAAGAGTTCTGAATTTCCCCTTCTATTTGAAGTAACTAAATAACTTTTTTATCATATTCTTAACCAGTTTTCCCTGATTGTATGTTAATTCTGCTTACTAATAATTGCCCACCCCAACTTACATGTTTGATCTAGTTTATAAATCAAATATGTAATATAGACATTTCTACACTGTCCGCTGTGATAGCCACTGGCTCATGAGGTTATTTACATTCAAGTTGATAAAATAAATAAATGAATAAAAGAACAATTCACTTTTTACTGACATGCTATAATCTCAGTAGCCATATGGCTTGTGACTGTTAGAGTGGAAAGCACAGATATATAATATTGTCACCACTGCAGAAAGTTCTAATGGACAGTAGAGAATCACCAAGCATAATGGTCTTTGCAAAATTTGAATCCTTCATTTCATAGGTGACTTGTCCATAGTTACATGGCTGACTAGTTAGTGACTGGTCTGAATGATACTGAGTTTTCCTAACCCACAGTCCAGTGTCCTTATACACTACAAGGAACAACAATTTCAGATTGTTGTGGAATCACTTGTAATGTTTATCACTAGAGATTTATTTTTAATAGTGAGAACATTCGGACATCAAATTGAATTGTATTCTATTATAATTTTATTAGGAACTTTAATCTCCTCTTGAAAGCCAGTCATATCATCAGAGGTAATAAGGTTTCACCGTTACATCATAAATACTCTATTTATTTCTACTTTGTTTAGAGAAGGTTTTAAGGTCACTTACAAAACTATACAGGATGCAGCAAGCAAGAAGAAACAATTATTGTGAGAAAAATGGAGCAAATGCATTTGTATGATAAAAGGCGCCTTATAAAATTTGTTAGGTGTATAAGTTGATATGTGCCACTATAAAAACAAATACACTCAACTTTTGGTTCTCAACCCAGCAAGCAAACCTTTTCATAATGTGGCTTCATTTTTTTCTATTCAATTAAATTTTTCTTGCCCATGGATTTTGTCTCTCTTATAATTGTGCAAGCTCCTCAAGGATAGCACTTCCTTAGATCCTTTTTTAATCTTAGAGTGCTGACAGAGTTCAAAATATGCTCAATAGATTTTAAAAATTATGTATCAGTCTCCTTTATATTTTTCTCTTTAAATCTCCTTGAACCTCACCTTTCTGATATGAAAAATGGAGGAAATCACAAAGTCCGGAGACCTAGTGAAAATACAAATTTGGAGTATATAGCCCTGTACAGTAATAGACACTCAAGTGTGGAAGTAGTGAGCTAGCTCGAGGAAAGTTCACTTGCATATGTCAACATATTTCAGGATGTTTTCCCCCTTGTTTAATGATCTTTCTAGATCAGGTCAGGCATCACTTCCTCTGGGAAGTCTTTGCCTCCCCTACAAGTCCAGGAATTCCCTCCCTATGATAATCTCTGCCCTCCCACCCCAATATTTGTCATACTGTCATGATTTCCATTTTGCTTATCCTTGTCACCCCTCAGTCAGTGAGTTCCTTGAAGAAAGTAGTCTTTGTCGTGGCTTATACCCAAGCATATTGTCTGGCATGCATTCTTTCCAGTAAATTTTTGTAACATGAATGAACTGATTTTTTTAAAATAACATTTGTACTGTTATTAGCAAGTTACAAAGTTTTATCAGTACTTATTTCTTAGCATCCCAACACAACTATTTCTAATTAGTATCAGAACTCTAGTGGAATTTTCACTCTATCGTAAGCCATAGTAATTTCTTTTTCAAATACCAATATAACTGTTAACATCATCCCCTAATTTTAGTATAATACTTTGAGAGCCGTTTCCTGAGCTTTAATATTCATAATTATTTAAATGACAATTTTCTTTTAATATCTCAGCCAAAATCTCTTGTCCAGTATTTTTCAATGTTGGCTATATAATAGGTCATCTTATACTGAGGTGTTAACAAAGTGGTAAATGTAAGTTCTGCAAGATTTTAGGATCTTTGGATTAAAGATGACAACCTAAATCCTAATGTTTGGAAATGTTTTAGTCTAAAAATTAATATCTTACTAAAAATCAAAAGCATTGTGGTAAGTCTGTTCCATGTAGTCAGTTCTAAATTATGTATGTTGGTCCCACTAAAGTAAATAATTAACATTTCTGACATCAGTGGTAAATGATTATTAAAAGTAATGAACTGGTACAAGAAAGTAGAACTGCAGCATCCATCAGGACTGGTCTTCACTTCAAATGCTGATTTGCATTAAAATTGCATGTATTTGGTCTCTGAGAGTTCATTTCCCATATTCTGTTCAAAAATGAAAAAAAAAGTCATGAAATGAAGAGGAACTTAAATATTTTAAATCATTTTTACATTTAAAAATTGCCAGAGTGAGTTTAAATCTAAAAAGGGACTGTAAAGGTATTTAGGGGCTGCTGACTTTAGGATTATAGTCTTGTTTTCATTGTGCAAAATGAAGGGCAGCCTTCTAACAATCCACTGTCTTATCTGACAGCTCTGGAGCCTCCCAGCTCAACTGCCTGGGATTTATACAAGATAAAATTACAGTGTGTGCAACAAACGACTCGTATCAGATGACACGAGAAAGAATGACCCAGGCAGAAGAGGAATCCCGCAACCGAAGCACAAAAGTTATCAAGCCCGGTGGACCATATGTAGGTTTGTATAGACATCTTTCTCCTTCTCGTTGATTGAAGGGAATAATTCAGGATCATTATAGGTAAATACCGGTAATGTTCATTTAATCAATACACAGAAATAAGTTTCAAGAACATTTTTGGGTTAACGTGAACATGCACCATTTTTTCTCTTCACTCAGCTGATAATTGTACAGATCAAAAGTGTTACTTCTTTCATAAACCTTTCATCCTCTGCTGGCTTTATTGTTGTTTTAAAATACTGGGATCCGGTCAAGTTACTTTACTCTGTGAGTTGGTAATCATGGTGGAAAACACAAAACTGTTGTGTTTTCTTTATCACTGTGGTTCTTGTTGTACCCTTTAGGGTTAGTAGAATGTTTTGAGTTGTTAACTTCATTGTGGCAAAGATTCTTTGCACAACAAGTAACCATTCTTTGCACAACAAGTAACCATTCTTGAAAAAGTATAAAATTTACTATAGCAAAACATTAGAGTGATGCCATTTTGGTACCTCAATTGTGATGTCATTTATGGATCCTCATCCTCATCTATCCATTAATTAAGAGCCTGTCCCACGCCCAACATCAGCTCATTCAAATACCCATCAGCTCGTTCAAATACCCCTCAGATGAAGGGAAGTAAGACCAGCCAAGCAAGATGAGTCTCTCTTGTAGTATGAGCAGTGACCCTAGCAATTTTAAAGAGTCAATTCACAGTGACTATTAACAGGAGTACAGAGAATTATCAAGAGTGAGGATGAGCTCTTTGAGGCCGTGGTCAGTTTAATAACACAAGTCACTGGATAGTAAAGGATGAAAGGATGTTAATCTGTAAATGTAGATGCTCACAAAAGCAGCCTCGTGAAGAACCAGATCCCTTAATTCAACATCTTCCATGTTTGGTATAATTCTGCTTCTGAATGCTACTCCACTAATGTCTTTAATAAGTATTTCTTCGGAACGAAGTCAGGGCTCCTGGGAACTGGTGCTTAGCTTAGATACATCTAGTTTGGTCTAACAACAATTCATGGCTTCCCCAGGTATCTGTACCCATAGGACCCAGTTCCCTGCCCAGTAGGTTACCAGCAGGGAGATTTTATACTTTTCCTTTCCTACTGAGTGAGGTAACATTTTGCAGTCTCCTTTCTTTTTGCTTACCGTCACAAGTAACTTAGTTAACTTTCTGGATTCATACGTTAAATCTCAAATTGTTTTTTAAATGAACAAGATCTGTGACACTTAATTTAAATACAGACAATGAGTTTACTGGCCCACATTACCATTAAAAAGTGTTTTTTATTCCTCTGTCTAGTACTAACATTTTATAAAGTGTGACAACTTGGTGTGTTTTACAAAAGGATGGAAGACTCAAGTCTTCAAAATGATTTTTCCCCAATATTACTAGCCCAAAAAATCTTCACCTTGATTTATTCTAAAACTGCAAATCAACAATGGAAGTACTTTTCCATTGAATGATCCTTGGATATCCCCTATGTTCATGTGATCTTCTTTGTTTTTATAAGTCACATGTAGTTCGTTTGTAGCTTACACAGCAGACTTTCAACACCGATAGACCCATAGACTGCCTATTCCCTTATAACTTGCAGGGTCTCTTATAGGTACTACAAATAATTTTTTTTACATTTACATGTATTTTAGGGAATGACCTCATAAAATTTGAGGTTACCTAAGCTTAAATCACAACCAAATTACATCTACACAGTTCTGAGGAGAGTTGGTCATCCTCTCCTGCACATCTATACTCTCCCACAGAGCCCTGTGGAGAGTTCTGCCAGCCCTGCTCAGCCTTGTCCTCTGTGTTGTGCCCCAGCCGCTAACCATCACAGCACAATGTTCTTCTCTGATCTTAAATCTTGTCATTAACCTCCCCAGCCTTTTATTCTCAAGGTCAGATAACCCCAGCTCCTTTTAACTTTTCTTAATATGGCCTGTCTCCCAACCCTTTAATTATTTTTATTGCTCTCCTCTGGACTGCCTCCAGTTCTCTACCTCAGAATTCAAGATTAAACACGCTACTCTTAAGAAAAGCCTGATCAATTCTGGATGAGGGGAGCTAAACACCAATACCCTGATTGTTGTTGTTTTTATAATTTTTTTATTTTCTTACTGTTCTGTGTCATGGCATATTTTGCTTTTTTATTTTAATTTGATCCATCACTAGTTTTTTTTACCATGATTCTTCCTGTCTGGGCATCTCAGTTTGTATCAACCTGCTTTTTCAATATTTTAAAACTCTCCATTTCATTCCATTCTTTAAAATGCTAGTCATCACCCTTTGATAACTAACCTCACCCAGCCTACCAAGCACAAGGCCCTCCTGAACACCCTGCATGTAGTTAATCATCTAAATCTAACAGTCACCCTCTGAATTCGGCTCTTTTGTCTCTCTATTCTACATATCAAGTTGTTGCTATCAGCAGATTACAAGTGATAGGGGGTTTATCCTCATTAACAAGTTATAGTCATTTTGTTAATACAATGGAGTTCACATTGAATAGATCATATAAACTGATATCCAAAGCTTACCTATGCCAGTTTACAGGTACCTATAGAACACGCTCCTTTTGCCAGAATCCGTTTAGGTGGTAGACACATGTGAAAATGATGGTCCCATTGTGGTGTTACGGCATAATGTCAGGCGAGGCCTCTGACAGTTGAATGAGGGCACAAACCCAGTTAAAAGGGATGAAAACTGCCCTCCTCAGGGTCATCACCCAGGCATCTTCCACTCTCTTGTGGGCGAAAAACCTCCAAAACCTATTTTGCATAGACAGGGGCAGGAGAGACCTAAACCTCAAAAACATTATTTCTTCAGTAAGATTTCCACTTCTGGTCTGGTATTTATATCAGTGGTGAGCACTGTTCTATTGTTATAATTATCCCCCTTGCTTAAAAAAGAAGCCACTGCTTCCAGTTCATCACTATTTTAAATTTGTTCACTGACTTTGAATTATGACTTTTTATACAGGCTAGCACTTATTTAGGTATATTAAAATGATCAGTCTAATTTATCTAATTTGTGGGAGTCTGTTTCCAGTTTTCCAAACTTCTGCTCTCATCCTCATTTTTGGTGGAGTTAGTACATGTTTAAGTGACCTTGGACAAACTATTTAACATCTGTGGACCTTGTTTTCTCATATAAGTGAGGGAATGTTTGCATTAGGTAACACGTAAGGTCTTTTGTACTTAACATTTTGTGACTGTTGAAGTGGGTAAGAAAGTAAATAGATAGATAGCCTTTTGCAAAAGTGATCACAAATGCCAAATGATGTCTGTGGATTCCTTGCCATGGATTATGTATTTCACAATGACAGAGTCACACCATCCTCAAGGTCCTGCCAGTGTTTTTAAAGCCTTGGGTTAGTGTTGCCAGGGTTTCTGGGCAGATTCCACAGAAGAGAAAAACAACTGAAGAAGAGACTGTAGTCCCTGCTCTCTTTCTGACACATGGTTTTAAGGTCTTCCTTTTAGATTGTTTACTCAAAGCCAATAGACAGGGAATATTTTTACTGTTTCATAGTAAATTGGGAAAAGACTTGATCTCCTTGTTATGAAACAACGATTCAGATATAGTCTCATATTATGCAACACTGTCGGACCCACTGCTGCTGCTGTTTATATAAGGAGCCCAGGGAATTGATTAGCAGTTGGGTCTGGGAAGAGAATTAGGTTCTCCCACAGGCTTTGTTAAGAGGGCTTTTCTAAGGCAAATGTAAAAGAATAAAAATAAAGCCTTTATTTTGCCTGCTTTGAAACTGACATTTTCCTGCTTCATTTTTTTTATTTTTTTCTCTCTTAGCCTCTCAATTTTATAACTACTCATACTAGTAAAAAAAAATTTTCATCTATAGCTTTTCTTACCTTAAGCCAGAGGACTCCTTCTGGTTAAATGAGCACAAAGGAAGACAGCTGGCTATTGATCTTTAAATATAACCCAGTTACCCAGTATGGCTGGATTATTCATTCAGCATTTGAAAGAAGTAGGTTACTCTATAGCTGGCTGTCTAAAAGAAAAATGAGGTTAAGGTGAAGTGAGCGTGTTGAGGTTTAGAGGTTCTTATAGTAATGACAGCCTAGCATTAGGCCCCAGGTAAGACTCCAATGTTGTCATATCCCTGACGAAATTCTAGGTTTTTCTTCCAACATTACACTTATACCCCCTCTTAAAGGCATAGTGAGCCTCCTTTATTTGTCTGCCTATGCCAACTTCAGGGAGAGGTGGGGCTAAAGCCAGGAGACCTCAGCACTCTCACGACACTGAGGATCTAAAGTGGGTCAGAGGTACAGAAGAAATAGTACAATATGGAGCACAATGGTAGCACCGTCATCATCACATTCTCTGTTCCTTTTTATTTGCTTCTCTTGGAAGCTTCAGTTCATTTTAAGTAGCCAGTCATGACATCTATGAGCTTAACTAAAAGGGCATTGTCTGCCCATCTACCTCCAGTGGTAGGAGAGTAGAGCTTCAGAGTCAGCTTGGTTTTGGAAAAGCAGAAGTTAAACAGATTGCAAAGAGGAGCAGAATGTGAAATATAGAGCATTTTCTTTTTGTGATTCTGATCCTATGTTTTTCCCCAAAATTCCTCTTAAAATTTCAAGAAATTGTACAATGGCAAGTGAGACAGTGAACTGTAAGGTTTGCATTTGCTGCATTAGAAATTTTACTTTACATCCTACCAGCCTGCCCATGTGGAAAAATAGAGGCCACGGTAAATCTGGCTTTTCTGTTGTCTACTTGTTTTCTTGCTGTACTTGTTCTTTTGCTGTTATTTTAACACTTTGCTAGTCAGTGCACTTTGCTACTCAAGTACTTACTGAAAGTCTGCTAATAGACAAAGCAGTGCCAACCCTGCTCGTAGAGAACTTGCAAACCAGCACAAAGCAAAGGCATATATTGTTTGCTCGTAAAAACTTTCCCACAAAGAAATACAAGTAGAAAATTTGGGTTATTAATCCCAGAGCCTTCCAAATGTTAAGTGAGCACATTACCGTTTGAGTTTATCACATGAAATGCTTTTTTTCCCCATCTATGTAGTGGGACCAATGTCTAACTCTACCTCATCAGGTTACTGTGAGGTTAAATGTGTGTAAAGCTCTCAGCATATTTCCTCCCCCCCCCACACACACACACATAATTGGTATATAATAAATATTAATTAGTTCCCTGACCATCTGACATCGATCTAGCTGTCTCTATATTAAGAAAAATAGAGAAACTGGTTCTAAATCTATTTCCTAAACTCTAATATACCTTAATTTAATAACTTTTCTTATCATTGGGTAATGTCCCTTTAATATTGAATCCTTTGTTGTACAAATTTTGATCTGATATTTGCAGTTGGCTATATTCGATTAGAAATAATAGGAGCCAGTAAAATCACTTATCCTTTCTCCTTTTCTTTAAGCACTACGGTTTTAAGTAAATAACCCTGATCAGGCCTCAGGAACCCCCAGAATGGAATTACCAGTTACTAAAGCTCCTGCTCCTTTAAACTGTTTCCCCTCCTCCCATTCAGCAGATCGTAACACTGAAAGACTGTCTTTACTTAGCCTTCATTTCCAGTTGCCAGTTTGTCCCTAATACAACTGCCCTTACATTGTGTCATTACCACTTCTTCCCCCCTCATCCCCCAGGGGAAAATACACTGATATGAGTGCTTAGAATGATTTTCTCTCAGAAATCATAAAATGAGGGCTTATGCAGTTTCATTCTATTTTTCTATTTTGATAAGGAGTGGGTTTATCAGGTATCATCAGTTACCAAACATGTACTTGATAGCTTTGAACATCCAAAGAGTATCCAGGTCACTCCAGTGCATGATAGTTTCTAGAAGCAGCCACTTACCAAACACTTCTCAGTGTTAAATTCAAGCAGAAAGTGGGCTAGTTACATGAGTGGCACTGACCTACTCAGGAATGGTGTGAAGGCATCCTTTTTACTGCTATCCATTTCCCTAGCTCATCAGCAGGTGTCAAGAAGAGAGACCTGCTTGTCTGGCCCCTTGGTATTCTTTTTCTGGTTGGTTGGTTGGTTTTGTTTATTTTTCTTTTTGAGTTCTAACATTCTTTATGGCCTGTTGAAAAGAATATGACTAGGTGGGTGCCCTTTTAAACGTTGATCCCCAAATTATACACAACTCCCAAGCTCTTTGTGGTTCCTGAATCTGAAATTAAGAAGGTAATGTCTGCAGTTGGCCAAATGTGTGCTCTTGGTGAGGAATGACAGGCATTCCTCACATTTTATAAGTTTGTTATATTCATATGACATAATGACCTAAAAATATGTAGATTTAGATTCAGTAAATAGAAATCTTTTCCATTTAACATCACATAACTGCAGCCTTAAAATCTCCAACCTCTTGCTCTATTGTATGTCACTATTTTCTATGTGCAGCAAAGTGGCCAAACTATTCTTATAACACATACTTATACCAATAAACAATTCCATCAAAAAAATCCTAATTCACTTTTTAGGCCATTTTATTAAAATGTTTTCTGTTTGCTTCTTTAAAGTAAAAACCAAAATGGAAAGTTGCCTTTTATTCCATCCAGAAATGAAGAGGTACCTAAGTCATAGTCACAGAAACCCAAGATGCTCCTTATACTGCTTGCAAATGTATAACAATGTCTTTTCCATTGGACTTCAGGGAAGAGAGTGCAGATTCGCAAAGCACCTCAAACTGTTTCAGATGCAGTGCCTGAGAGGAAAAGGTCAACCCCCATGAACCCTGCAAATACAATTCGAAAGACACATGGCAGCAGCAGTGTTTCTCAGCGGCCATATAAAGACAGGGTGATTCACTTACTGGCATTGAAGACCTATAAGAAACCTGAACTGCTGGCACGACTGCAGAAAGATGGTGTCAATCAAAAAGACAAAAACTCCCTGGGAGCAATTCTGCATCAGGTGAGAACAGCTGAGCGTCCTTTACCTAGCATGTTTTTTTTTTTTTTTTTTGAAGTAAAGAAGCGTCAGGATCATTTTGATCAACGGTCTAGAAATATAATCCTGAATGGTAGGTCAAACCATCGTTGTCTAAGCATTTAATTAAAAACTAATTGTGGACACTTTTACTAGATATTATATATCAAATATTTCTGGATTATTTAAAAACTTAAGTTTTGAGTCATTCTCATTTGGATTAAACAAATTATGGCCTGAAATTCCATTTGAAAAGGAAGCAAATTATTGTTTGCGTCTAGTCTTGAATCTCCTAAACTCTTCCTGTACTTAGTAGTTTATATAGGTGAACTTGTATAATGAATTTGGTAGGTCTTTGGTTGGTTTGTAAACTAGAGTATTTTTATCTATTAAATAGTTGAGGATGTGCTTTGCCTGCATATTCTTTGCTGCCTGTATTACTCTTCTTTCTACTACTGGGTATGCTGAGATCAGGCATCTGTCTTCAATAAAAAATATAAATACTTAAAGTGTTAGCACTGATTAGTTACCATATAATCACAAGCTTAAATATAAATATAAAAGTAGGTCATTAATTTTATTAGTGGTTTCTTAAACTGTAACTTCTTTATTTTCCATGCTGACTTGGGGTCATAAATATTGATTAATATTCAAATCCATCAAATAGTTGCCCATCTTTAATTTTTTCTAACAAGATTTCCCAAAATTAGATTGTATCAGTTAAAAAGAAACACTACAAGTGTTCATGTGTTAGTTGAAGAATAACTAAAGTCTAACATTCCATCTATTCTCTCATATTCAAGACTTGATACTGAATGTTATGAAAGAGGAAAACCATAATCTTTACTTCTATGTTAACTGCTCCCCAAGTTATCTTGAGCAATCTCAAAGATTAAATCATTTGTGTATATTTTAAAATTTGAATCTATGTATCACATAGCAGTTTTAAGAATTCAAGAGACAGGGTGAAGGAATGAATGAGAATGAGCATATGTGTCCAGTTTATTTGAGAGAGGGGATATATAGATAATGAAAACCAAAATATTTGGTGACTGAATCTTCAGAAAGGTTGTAATTTACCCCCTAGATTAGAGAGGATGATGGGCAAAATGATGCCAAAGGCACCTCACACAGACTCTACTCTTATTATATGCCTGTAGCCACATGATTATGTATACATGTGCAGACATACATATTTACAGATGTAGGTATGCTTATTTACCTACTGAGAAAGTGTAAAATAAGTGTTATTAGTATTGGTCATTTGGTAGGATATAGAACACAGTCTTATTTTGAATATATTAGAATCTCCTGAGGAGTTTTTTAAAATGCTAATACCTGATCTCCACTCCAGACCAACTGAATGGATATTAAGCTATTGGCAGAGATTGGGAAGTACAGAAAAGGAACACGTATATTGGAGTGGGGCTATCAGGAATTCTGTCTTGCATTATTTGGGAGATATCTGTTATCCATTCAAACAGAGACAGATTCTTAGGAGGTGGTTTCATATAAGGGTTTGGTGTTCAGAAGATATTTGGGGTTGAAGTTAGAAATTAGCAATAGCAATTTATGGGGTAGGTCTTGAAAACCTGAGAGCTGAATGAAATAATCTTAGATAAGAATAATGAAGAAAACTAAGTAGAAGACAGGTCCTGTGAACTCTAGCGTGTGGATGAGTATGCAAAAGGAACTTAAGAAAATCACAATACTGATGGAGGAGAAGAAGAGAACCAGCAAACAGTTCTATTACAGATGCTTGAAGAAGGGCAAGTGATAGTATGTGTGAAGGGATACAAGAAACCCAAGGATTATTGTAGTCATTCTACTTCAGGAAATTTGTTTATTGTTGTTAAATCGTATTGGTTATGGATGTGTAAATTTGTCTTCTGGTGTTTTATTTGTAAATTTTAATCTAAAATAAGCCTACCATTTTCTACTTTATAACATTAATCTTAAATTAGTTTTTGGCTGAGCTGTGAGAAAAGCATCGTCTATCATAATAAATCTTATAGTACTTAAAAAAATAGAAAAAAGAGCTGTTTTGAAAGCCCATTTCACAATGAAATGAGAAATAACTTTCTGCTAACCTTAAATAAGACTCTTTGTTTATCCTGATAAATCCATACATTTATATTGTTAATACAGTCTAGGCCTGGTCACAGGAGAACTTGTAGTTAAGAGTTAACTACACTTGGAAATAAACTGGTTGACTAATGACAGTAATTTGGGGGTTATTTTGGCTTATTCTTCCATTATTGGTTTTTGGAATTTTTTGAGAACTTTGAATTAGTAATTTTCCAGGAGATCTGGCATATATAAGGAGCAACCTTAGCTATCCAAAAAAATGGCAGGCAGGTTATTAAATTGATCCGTTTTCTAGAGATAAGTTCTATTGATTACTAAAGGGAAAGCCTCTAATCCACCATTTTGGTACTGTTTAGTTTCTACTTAAAACAAGTGACCAAGGGTTTTTATTGTGACTCATAAGTTAATAGAGTTAATGACAGAAATAAATAATGCTATTAAATTGCAGCAAGCTGTTTTGTGTTCCTTTGACTAGGAAAACTTTAAAAAATTTTTCCTTTTTCTTAATCTGATCTGAATATTTGATTAGGTAATACGACAAGTGCAGTAAACATTAGAGAAAAAAAATAGTAAATAGTGTATACAGACTTCTAATTCCTCAAATCAAATTGAACCCTTAAACTACAGTTATTGAGATCAGATGTATACAAAACTAGCAACCTTTTGAGACCAGTTGCAGTTAGTATGATTATTTTAAAGTATAAGCTGAGAGGTTGACTGTTTTAGGTTAGGAAATGGCGTAAGACATCAGCAAGTGTTAGAAAGTGGAGAAAGAGGAACCCTGTTACACTGTTGATGGGAATGTAAATTGCTACAAGGGTTATGGAAAGCAATCCAGATTCACCTTAAAAAAACATCTAAAAGTGGAACTATCATATGACCCAGCAATCTCACTCTTGGACATCTGTCCCAATGACATGAAACCATTAACATTAAAGGTCAATGGCAACATTCCTTATATTACCTAGTACCTGGAAAAAGCCTAAACAGCACTCAACAGATGATTGGGTCGAGAAGAGTTCTTATACCATAGAATATAATGTAGGCACAGAAAAGATAAAATGCAGCCATTTTCAATAAAAAAGGGAATTGGAAAGAAGTATTTATAATAAAGCAAGTAATAATGATATAAAACACTGGACATTTGCATAGCAAAGCAATTTGACAACTTGTAAAACACTTTCAAAAACCAGCAAACATCAGTAAATGCCAGGAAGAATCTGATCTTGGGGGGTGGGAGGTGGGCGGTGGTAAAGAGGAGGAATAAGGGGATATAAAGGATGGGGGAAATGAGTGAATGATTATGACTTTCTCTAATAGGCTTTTTATTTTTAAAAAAGTGAAAGGACCTAATGCTCCTTTTTCATATATATATTAGGTAGCCAATCTGAATTCTAAGGACCTCACGTATACATTAAAGGATTATGTTTTTAAAGAACTTCAAAGAGATTGGCCTGGATACAGTGAAACAGATAGACGGTCACTAGAGTCAGTGCTCTCTAGGTAAGGTGTTTTGTTCTCTATTTTTATTTTTTTCTTAAAATATGATACAAATAAGTAATATTTCAGTCATTGTTATTTTAGTGTTGAGATGAAAAAAGGGAAGCCAGGGTAAGCGTTCTATCATGAACATTTTAAAATTCTTTCCTTAACTGAAATTTGTGTCATTTACAGAAAACTAAATCCATCTCAGAATGCTGCCAGCACCAGCCATTCTGAATCTCCTGTCTGTTCTAGTAGAGACACTGCATCTTCTCCGCAGGTATTTCTTATGATCACATAATCATCTCAACTTAGAGGCCGTCTTATTCAGGTGCTCTGATTTCCAAGTGAGAGAAAGGAAGCCCAAAGAAGCTAGCTGCACAGCCAGCCTTCCCAGAGTCACAGTTTTCATTGCAGAGCTTGGTAGAATTCAGGTCTTGGGTCTCAGCTGAGAATTCTTTTCTGCTACATTTGTTGCTTGTCAAAATTGTCCATCTTGCTTCTCCATATTTAAATTTTACATTTTGTTCTAAAATTATCCACTTAACAAGACCTATATCCAGAATCTGGTTAGATACATAACTGAAGGTATTTTATTAGAAACATGTTCCAGAAAAATTTTCTTAGAGAAAATATTTTGCAATAAGCAAATAAATATTTCTGCCATTTTCATACATTTTTTAGAAAGCACTTTTCTACTAGATCCCAGTCAGAATATTTCAGTCAGACCTCAAGAGATTCAACCTTCCTGCAAAAAATGTGGAGAGGTAGATTATGAATAATATTATAATTCAACCCACTTCATTCTCAGAAAACAAGGCCAGTTCTCTAGATCTTTTGGAATAGCAGTAGAACAGCCCTCTGCACTACAATGTTACTGACAACGTACTCTTCTCTCTGGACCCTCCTTCCAAAGACTGGGGGCGTGGGACAGATAGAGGGAGCACAGTACACAAGCAAAAGACTCTTCAGGTGGCAGCCTGTTGTGAGAAGCAAAAAAAAAAGCAGTGCTGCCTTGCACGTATATTGCCTATGGAAACCTCACTAGTAATGCCAACTGCTTTGAAGCTACCAATGCTCTGAAATGATTATGTACTGGTTGCCAAATCAGTGGTACTGAGCTGAAGACAGAATAAATTAATAGGATGATTAACTGACTTTCTTTTATGCTAAAGTACAAGGCACAGCATAAATTGGCTATATGTTTTATGCTTTTCCGCTGTCTGAATTCCCCTCTTAATGTTAACTACTATTATTGCTGACATAAGCAAATATTAGCATGGTTTTTAAATGTGTGAATTTTTAATTCTACAGTAGGTATATGGACCATGTCTTAAGACATCTTCAGTATTGCAAACAGATATATTTAAGTAGAGGGGGAATGGAATAGCATTTCTACAATAATAGAGCAACAAAGAGAAATTACTCTGAAGATACGGGATTATTCCCGTCTTAATCTAGGTAACATAACAAATGGTATAATAAATCAACAGGAGCCCACTGGTACAACGGAAGATTTGTGGATTGTTTTTTTTTACTTAAACTTGGAGAAAGGTTAATACACCCCAGTGGTAAATTTCTTAATAAAGTTGCTCAGTCCATATGGTAATCAACCATGCATGTCTTGAATTTTAGTACAAGCTGATGTTTTTATTTTTCCCCCCAGAAACGGCTCTTAGATTCAGATTTCATTGATCCTCTGATGAATAAAAAAGCTCGAATATCTCATCTGACAAATAGAGTGCCGCCAACATTAAACGGTCATTTGAATACCACCAGTGAAAAATCGGCTGCAGGCCTCCCGCCACCCCCTGCAACCGCTGCTATCCCCACCCCTCCACCGCTGCCTTCAACCCACCTGCCTGTCTCCAATCCTCCTCAGACTGTACATTCTAACTCCAATTCCCCTAGCACTCCAGAAGGCCGGGGGACTCAAGACCTACCTGTTGACAGTTTCAGTCAAAACGGTAGTATCTATGAGGACCAGCAAGACAAATATACCTCTAGGACTTCTCTGGAAACCTTACCCCCTGGTTCAGTGCTACTGAAATGTCCAAAGCCTATGGAAGAAAACCAGTCAATGTCTCACAAAAAGTCCAAAAAGAAGTCTAAAAAACACAAGGAAAAGGACCAAATTAAAAAACATGATGTTGAGACAATGGAGGAAAAGGAAGAGGACGTTGAAAGAGAAGAGGAAATTGCCAAGTTGAACAACTCGAGTCCTGATTCCAATGAAGGTATTTTCACATTTATCAAAACCCAGCTACACTTCTTAAATAATAGGAAGAATGGACTATTATGGGTGTAAGACAATACTGATTAGTAATGCCTACCAAATGATCTTCTACTTAGGTATTAACATCAGTGTTGTGCTTTTGAGCAGATTTTTTTATTGCATTTTATAGCAGTTACTTCAGTCTCTTTATAGCCATTAAATACGGTTTCTTTATTTGTTAATAAGATGGTGACATTTGAAAATGATCCTGTCATCCTTTCAGAAACCCCCTCAGAAAGGTGGACTTGCTGCATTTTCCTGTAATTCTCATGGTATTGTGCAATCTTAGCATAACCATTCTTGAACTAATTTAACCAGACACACAAAGAGCAATAAAAATATTCATTTCCTTCTTAGCCAGAGAAACAGTCACCCCTGCTTTAATTAATATTAGCACAGGGGAAATGTCAAGTTCTTTATAAAACAGGCAGAGTAAAATTAAATTTGCAGATCTATAACATCATCTTGTCTTTTCCAAAACTGTTGACTGTCAGCTTGATAGATCTTAAGTGTTTGTTTTTTGTTGTTGTTTTCAGTTTTGAGAACCCCACTTTTATAAGCTAACATTAATTGGTGTTCGTAAAATTAATCATTTCAAGATTTTTGGAAGCTTTAAAAGCCAAATATCTAGAGACTCGGTGAAGCTTAAAATGATGTTTTACTTTTAAAGAAAAACCATTTAGTACAAAGATTGCTTACCTGAAGTGTAGTGATCTTCAAAAACCTAATGACAAAATTATATTTTCTTTATTTAAAAGAAAAATCCTCTAGAACCTGTTTTATGGGCCAGCACAGATAATTCGTCATTTAGTGTTGCTGCCAACTCAAATTCCAGCACAACTAAAGCAAAATCCCCTGGGAAAATAATAAGTTTAGAAATGTTACTGTAATGAACAGAGTGAGTGAGAGTCTTGTCTTTCTGTATTTTGCCCTGTGAACCTATGAGAACAGTTTAGTTGGTAAGCCAAAATACGTTTATTTGGGAATAGCAGAGAACTATAATTTGGTGTGCACAGATTTAGATAGAAACCTAAAACGTCCCAGAGGAATAAAAGTCAGGACTTTTTTTTTTTTTAAGAGACGGCAAGGATGTTGTAAGGAGGATGTAGTAATGGTCAGATGAAGGAGTCACAAAGTAAAAGCGGCCAGGTGAAAGAGTCACAGAGTAAAAGTAGATAGAGTTTCACTTTTATCTGTCCTTTCAAACAGAATTTTCTTTTTCTTGCTGGTGTGGAATGTTTTAGCGGTTGAGTCCAGTCCATGCAGGAATCCTCTGATAGGACTGCCCTACCTCAATTTCAAATGACTCAACTTTCCACAGTCCATAACCTTAGATTTAACTAATCATCTTGTTATATGAAAGAAGCTTTCATTATAATAATGTGATACCATGACACTGATCTGTACTGAGTATATTGCATGTTAGAGCATGTCTGTTGAAATAGTTAAGTCTGTGTAGAACTATATAGTGGCCCAGTAGATAGGCGTAAACTTTTTCCTCAAATGCTGTGTTATTATTTGAATTTGCCAGATCAGGAAAAGGTGTGAGGTAATTATACCCCTCCCTCAGAGTTAGTACTCTAGGTTCTTGAGTACATCCCACTCTCCACACTTCCCACCATCAGACAGTGGTCCTAAGTCAGAGCTTTGGGAGGAATGAAGTCTAGTCTGTAGAGACCTGCCACAGTGTTTGAGTGTTCTCACAGTTGAGTACAGACCTAGTCTCTTTGACTTAGAAATTGAGGACATGGCACCTTTCAAAGCCAGTGAGATGATCACAAAGGACAGATCCAGACCCACATCCCTATATCTATTGCAGCTTACCTGATATCCACAGACAAAATGGAAGCCCAGTAACATACATTTAATGCCTTTTACTTTAGACTGTGGCCATTGTGGAAAGCTCTTTTACACAAGCCTCAATTAAAAAAGAGAGTATATGATACATCTACCTAAAAAGAGAGTATATGATACATCTACCTAAACAGTAAGGTAGTTTGCTCAATTTGCTTAGTAGGTTTTGTCCTTTAAAATATGTAAGCCAGGGCATTATCCAGTATTCATTTTTTTATTGAACATGTATGTATGTTTTACCAGCAGATAGGACGAGGGTTTGAATTATTTAATTCTACTTGGAATGACTAAAAAAAATTGCTATAATAAAACGTCTAAACATAACCTCTGGAAATGATCCATTCAAACAAATGGAATACTGAGGAATTTTATTCATTTCCACAGCATAGTCTTTCATGACTAGCACTTTATTCTTTCCTTTTAACAGGAAATCTGTGTGGTTTTATGAGTGTTAGCAGTTAGAGAAGTGTAAGTTGGTGTTCTATAATAACGTATTGTAAATTATTTTAAGCTGATAAGAAAAGTTCTTACCCAGTTCCACTGTCTACATACAAAAAGGCTGCAGTGAAAATACAGTGACTGAAGCAGTCTGCTACCTGACTTGTCTCATCTGCTTTGCTTGCATCCTATGAAAAGTAGATGTTGATGTAAAATTTGTATCTCCCATTGTCTGGCTGCATCTGCCACCGCAGTCTTTGAATTGCTGGGCAGATGCCACAACTGTTGCTGAAAGAATAGCAGACTGACCTTGGGTTAAGATGGAATTCCTTTATTGTGCAGACATCGCAGTAGCCACGGTACTTTCAATGCCTGGCGTGGCTCTGCTGGCTCTGGTCATAGGCCTCTATTGTTTGTGTTCAATTGTATTCCTTGCTCGCTGTTGCTTATTGAAATGGAAGAATAGAATTTGAGGAAAAGTGTTCCAGATGTTTCTGATCTATTTTAGAATTATAGGCATTTTATAACCATACTGTTTGGTGAACACTTGATTTTTTTTTTTTCCTTTGTAGGAGTTAAAGAGGTTTGTACTGCCTCTACGGAGCCTTCTTCAACAATTGAACTCCCAGATTATTTGATGTAAGTACAGATGTCTGCCAATAGGAGACAACTGTTTAATTTTAGAAAGTCAGCAAATTCTTTTCCCGTAATTTGCAAATCAGAAAAGTAAGAAGTTCCAGAAATAGAGTCCTGGAGCCACCCCTGCAATTAAAAGGCTGCCATTAAGCCTGCTTATCCCAAATCCACCCTTGTCTGCTTGAGCAGGTTTTGCCTCCCGTCTGCTGAGCTCTGCTCATTGGCCTTTAAAAGAGAAGCCTGTTCTTTGTTCCAGGGCCAAACCAAGCATTTGATTAGGGAAGACTTCAGGGATCTGATTCCTCAAAGCTGTCAGGCTGTCAGTCTGTCAGTGCACAGTCACTTCACGTGGGCCCCTCCAACAGGGGCAGCTTATAACTGATAAAATGGTTATATATCTGCAGTCAGTACACAGTAGAGATAGGCTGGTTTTCATTTAAATAAAACTCAGGCATGAAATTAATTTTAAGAGAAGGAAATAGTAAAATTTTATCATATCACTTTAGTGCTGATTGTAATGTTTTTCTTGTTTACAACAAATTGCTAAAGGCTGAACTGGGAACATTTTTGTAACTGGTTATCACAGAAATTACAACGTGGACACATAATTCTAGCTTTTATGAACTCAAAGGCTTCTGTAAGTAGAAAATAATTAAGTTGCAAGTGCCTGGAAAAATGGAGAGTGAAAGGGCAAGTAGAACTGACAAAAGATAGCTTTGAAAATTAACAAATGTGCAGAATAGTTTGAATGTAGAATGGAAAATGGAATTTGGGCTATGTAAACATCTTTTTTCTATTTGTAGCTTCTCATGAAGGACAAGGTTAAATTATGTTGTTTAGTCTTCCATGTCCTTGAAATGCTCATTCCAGAGAAGAGAACATTTCACACTAAAAATGTATTACTTTTGTATGTCAGTAGTATAAAAGCTATACTTGTTGGGGAATGGTACAGCATAAAACCATAATGCCACTTGTCTTCTCTTAACTAACAGGACCAAAAGAAACCTTTCTAAATAGCCTCTCATCTGAAGTCATATATGATTTTATAAAGTCTGGAGGGGTGAGGAGGGACTTTGAAAAGCAGTCAGCAATGAGTTAGCCCAGGAAGTGTCAGCTGGGGGACAGCCTGGTTTCATTCATAGAAGGGAGTGCATATCGCCTCTCCCACTGCAAACTCACTTCTTTCTCAACCTTGTGAAAGATAGTTATCTCAGATAACTACGGTGACGTGTGCTCAAGTTGTAACAGAACGTTCCCTTTCTTTGTAATAGTGATGTATACTTACCCTCTATGACAGAATCATGTGGGGGGACTGAAAAATAATTCTAACCTTTTCTCCATGGAGTCAGCATGTTCCTTTGTTCTCTAATCAGTTGATTCTGTATTTTTAGATTTTTTTTTTTTTAACTTACTGGTGTGTGAATGATTGCTGATTCTGTCTCTGTACATTGATAGGTTTGCTGTATTTCCAGCTTTTTAAAAATAAGTGTGATTTGTTTGCTTAATTTATTTACATAAAAAAAATAACCAAAAACTAAATCTTACATAAATGCAATGAATTTGCTAAAAACGGTGAAAAAGATGCAGAAAAATCACCAAAAATGTGGGCTTCAATTCACCTTAGGTTACTTCAAAAGAAAACTAAAAGGCCTCATTATAAAACCTTAATGATCAGCCTCTGAATAATTCATTCTTAACCACAGTATTCCTAATTTTTATATAATAATAATACTTCTGTCACTTGTGGTTGTGACTTACCCAAACTGTTTAATATTTTATTTTGTCACTACATTAAGAGCCAACTATAGACCTTGAACCATTTTGTTGAAGACAGTGAAATGCTTTTGGTTAAAGTGCCAATATAACTAAATAATCTTCTATGATAGCACCACTGCTTTTGGCCAGCTTATTTTTTCCTAAGGAAATTACTAAATAAAATACTGAGGGTGTGTGTTTTTTTGTTTTGTTTTGTTTTGAGAAAGCAAGGTAAGGGCTTCATATAACAAACTGAGCCTGAGAGTCATCTTGGTTTAACCAATTTATATACCTATCTCCAGAGCCTCTTCCTCACTCCAGACCCTCTTGGGGGTGCAGTCAGAGCAGCTGGTGTCTGGGGAGGACTGCTTCACTGCTTTGGCCTGCCATGTGCTTCTACAGCAAAAACACCAGCAGGGCAGCTTAAAATCAGCATACTATTAACAGTCTCAATTACACTTAGAAAATCAAACCTCCACACTCTCTAACTCAGCACGAATAAAAATATTAATGAGGACATTAAAGTTGCTTGCAGCATCACTTTTCTCACTTTCCAGCACCAAGCATCTGTGCTATCTATTGTGTTTTAAATAAAACCAATAAGATTATCTCATCATTTTGGAGAGGACTAGACGCTAAGGTTTTCCCACACTAAAGAATACATGTGCACCCCCTGGGGGCATCCTGTGTCCCTTGCCACCTGCCTAAAATTGCTTTGAAACCTCAGTTTTTATCACTAAATACCAAAGGAATTATGGATTCTATGACAGGAGTACCACGGGCAAAGAGCAGGTCAGAACATGACATGATTGAAGGTCTCAAATTCACAAATAAATCTGAATTGCTTTAATATTAAAATGCTATTTTAATTTAATTACCACTAAATTGACACATTGGCAAAGTAACCTTCAGTCTTCAGGTCCCAAGAGATGTTCACACCCAAAATGAAACAGATTTTGTGGCATGAGTTTTTAAAGCCCGTGTGCCACTGGCTTTTGGTTACACATTGTGTGACACTTGAAGTGTTAAAAAAATCTAGAGAAATACAGCCTTTTGCTTCCTCTCCCACCCCTCAATCTCTCATTATTAAAAATGATAAACAAGCCTACTCTTCTGTTTGCTAGCAGAAGCTTGAGGACATTAATGAGGGAACAGACCTGAGTGAGCCACCTTGCTAGCCACAGGTGGGAATGTCAGGAAAAAGCCTCACGTAGACTCACTCTCACAGGTCTAGAGAGAGCTTTGATCTGGTGCTTAATGCCATGTGACATTGTCTGGTGTGTTATGCACACAGCCCTTCTACCTTCCAGTGACTACTGACAGATAGGGTTGCCGCTGCTGCTGTGTGGTGTGAATTCTTCTGCAGCCAGAAAGGTTTAGGAAGCTACAAAAAATGTGTTGTTTTCTTTTTACATATTGGCACACTAGTTCTATACCACCACATTTTTTCATACATATAAAGTTCTTAAGCTCTCCTGTGGGACGACTTCTTCTGGAAGGTCTTTGAAGGAGTAACATGGCAGCAGACAGTGACAGAGCAGCATTCAATGTAAGGGAACATGAGTGAGTAGTTTTTCCAAGTATCTGGTTTAAAACTCAAATGAGTATCTAATGTTTTCTCTGAAAATATTTTTCATTCCTTACTAGAAAATATATTGCTATTGTCTCCTATGAGCAACGTCAGAATTACAAGGATGACTTCAATGCTGAGTATGATGAGTATAGGGCCTTGCATGCCAGGATGGAGACTGTAGCTAGAAGATTTATCAAACTGGATGCTCAACGAAAGCGCCTTTCTCCAGGTTCAAAAGAGTATCAGGTAAAAAACTGTCCTGGATGGACCAACTTTCAAATTTTCTTTCTCTACCCAAAGTCCTAGACCCCACACCAAGTCTCCTTACACACCAGCCTCTCCAGCTTTTGGTCTTTATTTAAAATTGACGAGCAAACAAAATGTTTGAAATAATTCTTAAAATAAGTAAATTCAAGGAACCTGTATTTCAGCCAATGGGAAACGTGCATTTTTTTATTTAACATGATATGTATAAAGTAGTGCATGCATATGTATTTACTATAATATACAGTACACTGAGGGGGAAAAAAATCACAGCTAAAGAGGAAAAATTTGGATTTGAGTTTCATCTAAATATTTGATTACATTATCAGCTCAACTCAGACTATATAGCTCCTAGATGCTATTCCAAGTAAATTAAAAAACAACTTTTTTTTAAAACCTCAATCAGACATAGAATAGGAAAGACAAGAGACTATCTTTAATAGAAAGGGGGTTTAAGTACCACAGAGTTTTGGGGGCTAAGTGAAGAAAAGCTTAGTGTTTCCAGCTATTCGAGAAAGTGGTGTTTAACCAGCATCAATCTGTTTTCACTTTCCTACCTTCAGCAGTACTCAAAGAACAATAGAGACCATACCTGTCTCCTCCTTGTCCTTATAGTTCTTAGCAAAAGGATTGATATGAATTAAATGTTTCCTGCCTTTATGTAGGTCATATCATTTTTGCAAACTTGACAGCCATTGATGGTGCTTCTATCCTGGCCCACCACAGTCAGGAAGCTACATGCAGGAATGGCTGGGTTTTTGCACAACTGGGAAAGTAGCCTGAGATTATTAGAGATGTACCGTAGAGATGTATTGTGTCTTCTATTAGTGGGCATTCATCTTTTTAACAAACTGCTTATAGAAGATTTTGCCAGAGGAGCTTGAGTTTGGGATGCAAGAAGTCAGTGATTTGAGTGTGGAATTTTTTGGTTTGGTTTGGTTTGGTTTCTGTGTATTGGTGTACCATGACTATACTTCACCAAAGTTGTCATCCCAAGGATTGCTTAGTGCTTACGAGCAGACTCTGGAGCCATACAACCAAGGTTTGACTCCCAGCTCTACCTTGTAGTAGTTGTGTGACCTTGTATGCCTTACTTAACTTGCCTCAGAATGCCCATCCATAAAATGAGGTGATCATACAGTCATGCAAAATAAATATATACATTTGGAAACTCTTTAGGTCTGTTGTACCCCAGGTTATAAGCTACATAAGAATTAACTTTTTTTGCTGATAGATACCCTCTCCAGAGGCAGCACTACTGGTTTCCAGTGTATTCGCTCAGAGATCTGGGTGTGTACTCATAATACCAGATGTATATGTATACTAGCAAATTCACATGCATGCCATGTTTAATCTAAAATGTCATCAGTGAATGAATCAAGAAGATGTGGTATATATACACAATGGAATACTATCCAGCAATCAAAAAGCAAACATATGCCATTTGCAGCAACATGGAAGACACTAGTAAGGATTATGCTCAGTGAAATAAGCCAAAAGGAAAAAGAAAAATATTGAATGGTTCCACGTATAAGAGGAGTATAGGGAAACCAAATAAGGGATCAGGAAAAAATTTAACAATAAATTAAAAAAAAACACAGTTGGCAGGCAACTATAAATCAGAGACATTCTGTAGGGGAGAGGGAAGGAGAGGAATCAAAATTTGTGTTGCAGTAAATTAAGTTGTGATATATTATTTCTGGTTTCCTTAAAATGAAAAGAAATATGCATCCTAGGGGTAATGAAATTCTTAGACTAGTATATTATTTCCCCTTTTTAAACAAATGTCAAATGTTATAAATCATTCTGCATGTGCATTTTTCACTGAACAATATACTGCATCTTAGAAAAAAATTTCCATATCAGTAGATAAGCACTTCCCCCCCCCCTTTAATAACCTTTAAGATCCCTTTGTTTTGGTAAATGAACATTTATTGTATTTTGCTTCATAAGCAGTGCGGTAGCAAATTACCTGCACAAATATCATTTCACTTAGACACATTAGTCAATTTTGCCTTTGCTATTTTGATAGCAGTCACCAAACTGCCTTCCCTAAAGATTATACCAATTCTTCTTCGCACCAGCAATAGTCCCTGCTCCGTTACTGAATATGTGGTTAGTGACTCATATTGTCAAAAAATAAAAATTCTTTTTTGACTTTTAATTTTTTTAATTTTGTAGAATGTTCATGAAGAAGTCTTACAAGAATATAAGAAAATCAAGCAGGTAAGTATCCCCACTGTTGATTTCAGACCTGTAGTTGAGAAGTATTATAAACTCTACACCTAATACCTCGCTGTTCTTTTTATCCACAGTCAAGTCCCAATTACCATGAAGAAAAATACAGATGCGAGTATCTTCATAACAAGCTGGCTCACATCAAAAGACTAATAGGTGAATTTGACCAACAGCAAGCAGAGTCTTGGCAATAGAACTCTGCTTGGACCAGAAGATGTGAATAAACTTACACTTATTTATTTGAAATTCCAAATAAGTTGCTCGAAGATTCTAAAAAATGAAACTTTGCCTGTTAAAAGTTTCAGTATTAGTACACTTGAGTTACTTTTTTCTTTTTTCCCCCATTTTACTTTGCTTCCCTGCTTTTTTGAAGCTGCTTTTTCTGGTTCTTTTTTTTTTCCCTCCTGAAGACTTGTGTTTGTCAATAGAAATCATTTCCTTTTAGATATTGGGGATCCAGTGTCTATACTTCAAATCAATTTTTTTCCTTAAGGACTCGTGTTTGTCATTAGTTATGATTTTTTTTTTTAAAGATATTGGGGATCCAATGTCCATACTTCAAAGTTATGTGTATTTAAAAAAAAAAAAGTAATGTGCAAAGTGAAATGCTTTTGGATAAACATAAGCCTATTTTCTGACCATTCTTAATGCGAACTCTTTGCCTTAAATGGTAGACTATTTAGAAATTTGCACAAAATACAAAAAAAAATTAAACATTGTTTTGGAGGGTTAAGAAATAGCTATGTGCGTGTGTATACGTGTATGGACACGCATGCACATATGGATATCTAGTCTGGCTTAATCTCGAACAGTCAATCTGCCCTGCAAGTTAACCCCCATTGCAATGGTTGCCTTAAGGTGTTTGCTAGTTGTGTACATAGTGTGGTTAATCATTAGCTGCACAGCCTCCCACTTGACTAGAGTAGTGGGAAGCACACTGTGGCCTACCAGCGTCTGAAAGCGTGTGCTCGACCTGTGTGTATGCAGAGGTGGTGTGGATGTGAGCGTGCATGAAGGAAAAAAAGCTGCTACTCTCAGTAGGCCAAACGCTCAGGTTAAACAACTGACGAGTGTTACTGTAGGTTTTTTTTTTTTTCCTGTCAAATTGCTACTTCTATTGTGGAAGACAAAAGCATTTCCATTTCAACAGTTTGTCAGCTTTATTAATGTTGGGCAAAATTGATATGTAATGAAAATGAAACAGATCTATAGTTTTGGGGCAAAATATAAAATTTAATGTGTAGGTAACCTATTTATATACTGCTATAAAGTATTTTTGAAGAGAGATATGCAAAGAAGCTATTACCTACATGAAATGTATATTTAAAGATTTTTTTTCTCATCCTGGTTGCCAGGAATATAAAAAAAAAAGAGCGGATATATTTAAACATAACATACTGTGATTCATCAAACAGCACAAACTTTCATTTCATGGAGTTTATCTGTTGACGTTGATTTAAACTATCACTTGTTTTATCATGTGGGAACATAAGTTATATGCTCAAAAATACGAAGAGTTTGAACTAATGTTGATTCAAGTTGTGTTGTCTTATCGTATTGTCTTTTCAAAGTGCTGCCAGTTGAAAAGGGAAGCATTATGTTTACAAATCTGTTTTGAAATGTTTGCCAAAATTTTGGTAGTATCTTTAATAAAGATGTTTGTCTCCAGCATCCAAAAAAAATAAATAAGTAACTTTGTTGTGTATTACTGTAAACCAGAAAAGGTTGGCATCTGGAAAACCGGAGAAAGCATGTAGATGAACTTTTCTCTTTGGAGTTCTTCTCAAACATTAACTGGAAAGAATAGGTACTATAATAAAGGTATACAAGAGTGTACAGACTACGCAAACCCTGTGACGATAGCTCTGTAACATTACTGCGGAAGTTTGATGTCTGTGTAACATGGGACTTCGATTTCATTCAGCATTAGAGATCTCTGGTGCTCTTCCTTTTACCTCGAAATTGGTACAATCATTATTAAATGTTACTTAATTTCAAGCCTTCAGTAAAAAAAAAAAAAGGAAAGAAAATTTAATAAATTTGGGGTAGATTTGGTCCTTACTCTCTTCTAGTGGAGTCTCCTGAGGGCTATCTGCGTGACCTCATTGCTGTCATTTCTTGGACCTCTTGGCCTTCTAATCACAGACTGTGCTGCTATTTACTGCGAGCGCTGTTTCTCAAAAGCAAGGTGCTTGGAAAACTTGCATTACCCAAATTCAAATCTCTGGGTATAGTCCCATGTGTCTGCTTTTTCTTGAATATCCTCTAAGTGATACTGGCAAGCTGACGTGTAAGAATCAGTGACTTGGATGTAGCACTAAAATTTAAGGTCTCTAAATCTTTAAGTCTTAAGATGAACTACAACTATTTGGTTTTTTGGTTTTTTTTTTGACCTCATCCCCTCAGCAGGTGCAATCACTACAGGATTACAGGATGTGAGGCATCCTCTCAAATTGTTTCACTGCCAACTCTTATTTCAGAACTTTTTACAAAGAAGCCTTCCAGTTGATTATTGGTCTTTAGAGCTCCTACCCACCTCCATCGACACATCTTCTGGTTTACAAATTGGGGAATAATGGAAGCTGGAGATGCTCTATGAAAATCCAGCATCGCACCCCGTATGCTTGACCACCTACCTGTAGAAGCCTTAATTTTGATGTTTGTTGTGTGCTTTGGGCAGAACATTAAAAACTATCTGTTGCAAATTTGAAAGGTAAAACCTCTGAATCTGTTACCCAGTGCTGCACCCCTTTTTGAAGATGGGCATGAGCCTACTAAAATATTTATAATCATTCTTCCTTCATGTCCTACTGCAAGATTTTTAGATTCCCTGAAATGACTGCTGCAGGAATGGGTGGCCACTTAGTTAACTCTGGTAAAAGAACCTAGTTTGTGTTTGGGGGTTTTGCTTTTATGGTTGTTTTTTTTGTTTTTTGTTTTTTGAGAAAGTGAAACAGTGTAAAACAATGTTGTTAAGATGAATGATTTGTGGTTTGTGGTGGTGTTTTTTTTTTATCACATTTCATCTCAAATAATTTGAAGCTTTCTTGAAGATCTTTACCATCATTTAACTCCAAGTTAAATGAGCAGCTGATTTAAAACAAACCAAAAGAACATTAACTAGATGTGTTTCATTTTTGATGTGATGATTTCATTTCCTATCTTGTTGCTTATTTATTTCCCTTAGAATACCTTAGAGGGGTTAGCTTTCAACTCTGAAGTAGTGACAGATGTCTAATACTTGATCTCACAAAGTAATTGATGTGATCAATTTATATATCATTGCTCCATACATTGATTATAAAAATTCAGTATTAATTTTCTTCATCTCTTGATTGACCTTTTAACCTTTATAGGAGCTTTCCTTTCCCTTAAAGTATCTCACCTTATGTAAAGCAACGGAAACTTGCATGTTAGAAGCAAGATGGTGAGAGGTGGTCTAGACACAGGGTCCATCAGCTCCCACTCTTCTCTGTTGCCTCATTCCCCCCCCCCCCTCCACTAGTAGCATCTTCTGCTTCCAGAACTTGGCTCAAACTGGCCATTTTGTTGTCTTTCCAACAGCGAGAGTGTCGAGTCACATATGCTTGGTAATGCCATTACTACTTTTGAGGTTCTTACAGTTTATTACTTGCATAAGTGTTGCTAAATCCTTTTCTTGTGTGTACTGGGTGGGGGAGATACAACCAGCAATTTGAGAAGAGCATTTTGGGAAAGGATATTATCTTGACACTACTAAATGAAGGCAACAGAAGATGTTATAATGTTCTTTGTAACCTGAAAACTGAGCAAGACTGTGAGGCTCATTTCAAAATATTTTGAAGTGTTAAAATATATAGAAATATATATTTACGCTGTTTCTCAGTCGATCACCCAAACCATGTCAGGACTCTTGAAGGTAAATGTCACAGGGACTTTTCAGTTGTTACCAAGTTCAGCAGCTGTGGTGGCCCTTGTTCTACACCAATTTCAGTTCAATAAAAATGTTAACTTTGCAATTCTGGTGATTGTTTTTACTTGATTTCATTTCAAGGCTTCTAAATTTGTCCAGAAAACAGCCACCGCCACTCTGCAACAACATACTCTTGCGCTGCAGCATAAGTGACCCTCCTGGGGCAAAACAGTTACTGCTCTAGGAATTCTGGACTCTAGTCAGTGATTCTGGGAAGCAAGAGTGAGGGGGTATGCGTGCCACAACCTGCCTACTTGACAGGAGTAGGACATACCCACCAGAGGTAACAATACTCGGGGAGCTATAATGAAGAGTTACACTGTTCAAGGAATTGCTCTGAGTTACACACTTTTTGCAGGCATTTTCCTGTCCGCACCATGATGCTGTTAACCGCATTTTCTAGACGAGTCAGTTGAGGCTTAGAGAAGCACAGAAACTTCTCATCTCATAGCTAGTTAGTGGTGGCACCTAAGGCACCTTTCCCCAGCATCTGTGTTCTCAACCCCTTCTCCATACCACCCATTGAATGTTGGCACCTATTTAGGGTAGAAATTATCTGTACAAAGTGGTGGTTCCAGTTAATGGTACACAGGTGAGGCAAACCTGTTCCAGAGGAAGCTAGAATGTGGGGGGCAGGGTGAGTCCAGTCGAGTATTCTCAGTGACTTTATTTGGTCAAAAATAACAAATTTGAAGCAATGGCAAAATCCTTTTAAAGAGAAGGTATTTTCGGCCCTCCCTGGTGGCGCAGCGGGTTAAAGCACTGCACTAAGAGACTAAAGCCACTTCTGCATGAGTTCCATTCCCGCCTGCCCCGGAGGCGACCACGTGGCGTGGCAGACCTCTCCTGTCCCGCCCACTGCTCCCCTCAGCAGTGTACTTCGTCGATCTGCCTGTTCTGCTTCCTGCTCTGTCTCTGGTGAATCCTCTCACCCTCCGCATCTCTGGCCTGTACCCCAGTTCTGTACAAATAAATAAGTAAATCTTTAAAAAAAAAAAGGTATTTTTTAATGTGTGCAGTGTGGGGCCCTCACTGGTGGTGCAGTGGCTTAAAGCACAGCACTTTGAGGCTATCTGCAGCATGAGTTCAGTCCCTTATCAGGGAGCTGACCCACAAGGTGTGGCAGACCTCTCCTGTCTCACCCACTGTTCCCCTCAGCAGTGTATTCCAGTACATCTGCCTACTCTGCTCACCAATTTGGTGAATCCTCTTACCCTCTGTACCTCTGGCATGTACCCTAGTTGTTATATACATAAATAAATCTTTCATTAAAATGTGTGCATGTGAATGGTAAGCTAGTTGAAGATGACTGGGACAAGTGGAGGTGGGAAGCAGGGGCACAGTCTTGGATTCCCACTGATTTCATATTAAAAAGACTGAGTCAGGCCCTCCCTGGTGTCGCAACGGGTTAGGACGCAGCACTGCAAGCTAGTGGCAGCCACTTCAGTGCGAGTTCGATCCTCAGCCCTGGAGGTGATCCACATGGTGCGGTAGACCTCTCTTGGCCCACCTGTTGCTCCCTTCAGCAGTGTACTTTGCCAATCTGCCTGTTCTGCTCCCCAGTCTGTCTCTGGTGAAGCCTCTCACCACCCCTGCACCTCTGGCTGTACCCCAGTTCTGTATAAATGAATAAATAAATATTTAAAAAAAAAAAAAGACTCAGAGCACACTCCAGCTCTTCGGGTATCTTGTTTGAATTAGACACACAGATATCCTCCTTCCTGGATTCTTGACTTACAGTTTCTTCAAGTTCTTGGAAGAAATAATGGAAGAGAAAAGGAAGAACACCTCATTTGAGCCCTGGTATTAAACATGCAGCCATCAATGCCCACATTGACTCTCATCAGGTTTATAAGGAGCCTGGAGGAAGATCAGCAGCCCCTCCCCACTGGACTATTGACATTGCACTTTTAATCCTTGCCTCTGCTGTAAAGTGAAAACATGCTGCTGTAGTGGGCATGGAAGTTTGATTACTGTTCAGAAAGCTCTTGGGGTTGCAAGATAAACAGCTACCCTCATATGCATTGTGTGCTGAACACAGCAGGGAGGTAGCTGGAGCACCTGCACCCCCTCCTCCCTCCCCACCCCCTCCAGCTGGCAATGAGTCCATTCAGTCTGATTGTAAAGGGCACAAAAACAGAAAGAAGCTTGGGGCTTCGAAGTGGGATGTTTGGGGTTTGTTTTATTGAATGTTAGACTTACAAGTACCTGCCCCACTGGTTTTGCATTCCTGAGATCCAGACTAGAAGCTGGCAGTGGCAGTAGGTGGCTCTAATATTTTATGAATGTTTAATTCCCAAGTTGCCATCAGATGATTTTGCTGTGTGGCGGGGGAAAGGTGTCATTTTCAATGCCTGCCAACCTAATTCAACTGACCAGACACGCTGCTTTGTCTCGCTGTAATTAGGTGCTTGGAATGATGAGGAAATTTGTAGATGGATGATAAGAATTCCGTATTCGGATCTGTGAAGTGGAGAGAGTGTCCTAAATATGAGCCCACCACACTTGGGTCCCAAAGCTGGGGCCCTGGAGGAGTGGCCTCACTGTGTTGCTGTGCTGCTTAGATTCCAGTGAGCTTCCAGAATGAAGACAGGCAGTGTGATCTGCTGCTCCCACTCTCCACACCAGTCGCACCGGTTCTCCACCAGCTCCTGCTCTTCCTATTCCAGGGCCTGACTTAGCACTTACTGTCCTCGATGCCCCACCAACCCCGCCCCCTCACA